GATCAATCATATACAGTCCAGAAGGCACTATCAAGGAAAAACATGCAAGGTTTAAGTAGTCCTAGTTCCTCCAGTTCATTTCACAGTCAAAAGAGACAACTGAAAACATCTGTCTCCTGGACAAACTCACTTTGCCTTTTCCAGAGTTACAGGAGCCTGTTCTCTGCCATCTTCCACATGTGCTGGGCACATGCCATGAGGATAAACACCTGAAGATAAACACCAGGAGCTAGAGTTCGATTTTAATTGCTATGAGGGGTGAGGGTAGAGGGTGTTTTTTTGCGCAGCGCAGGCGCAGTGTATTCCGCTGAGCTCCCCAAAGGCTGATCCCTAATCCCTCGTGTGAATGCCACAGCCCCCCTCCTGCCCAGCAGAAACCCACCTCTGAGCAAGGAAGGTCCAGAGGCCATTCCCAAGGGTAGGGTGGTAGAAAACAAAGCAGGCGAGAAACTGCTGCTGTCACTGAGCAAAGACAGGAGCGATCATCTTGCCAAGCGCTTCCCCTTCTGGCTAATAGAGATGGCCATCTATGGTCGCCTGTGGTGATGCTCAAAGGTAAATGCATGCACAGACCTGCAACAGAGCTTCAAAACTTTCAGAATCAGCTGCGTCTACGTAAAGATTCATTTATTTTTGTTACTCCGAGCATTAGATGCCAATAGATGAAAACTATGTTCAGTGCTCTATGCCTTACAGAAAGGTGTTTTTTTGTTTGTTTGTTTAAGGAACCAGGAATATTTGGAGAGGGCAAATTTGGACTCGGAGCACATTGAGCTAGAAGTGCTATACCAGATAAACCCTATGATGGAGTGACTGCATTTTAAACACAAATTGCTGGAGAAGTAGAAATTTTAGGCAAGTAAGCCTGGTGGGTATTTGTTATTTATAGTTACTGGAGGGAACATAGGGCATTGTGTGTGTGTTTTAATTGGGAAGAAGTTGGAACTAGGTTCCTTCCTTATGCATTCAAGCTCTTTTTATGTTATAGAGATAGTACATTATGGGGGTTTGCATTTGTGCCAAACACTCACTGTCAAAAGAATAAATTGCCAGGTTGCACAAAGCTGCGTGTGCCTCCATAAATATATATTCATCAGGGCACATTTCTTCTCATTTTAATATTGCACTTTAACACATGTGATTAGAGAGATGCATGTGCCAGGAGTTTACTGCATTTGTTACATACAACAAGAAAAAAAATGCACCATTTCATGTACGCTATTTCCCTTCTTGTTTTTGGAAGATGAGGGTAGCAGATCTGCTAGTTACGTTAAGTCACAATGTCATTTGCTCAGCCTCCCAAAATATCAAAGGAAATTGGAAATAGTTAATTATGTGAGGCAAAATTCTGGTGCCACTGATACCATTTTTGCCTATGGTACCTCAAATTCACATTACATTTTTCAAGACTGCTACTGTCAAGGGAAATGCAAGGTGACTTGGAAACACTTCCTTTTCTCATCTACGTAGAACACGTGAAACCTTAAGCCATTAAACAAATTACTCTTCCATTGGGCAGAGGCCAGCTTCATGAGAACTGGTAGCCTGCTTTTGGTTTCACTATTCCCCAGGGACAACTCCGGACTGTAACTGTGAGGGGAATAACATATTTTGCTACCTTAACATAAACTCTGCAATGAGAAGCCTCATTGAAGCCGGCAGTCCCTTGCTCTGTCACCTTGTGCTGCAGTGTTTCCATCTGGAAATGACAGGTTCTTCCCTCATGTCGGCCACCAGTGTCCCAAACTCAGTTGTCTCCATTTCTTTGCATCCAAACTGATGGGAAGAGGGATTCCCTTCCTTGAAAGAAAACAGTAACATCTTCTCAGATGCTGCTGGAAGGTTTTGGCCTTATATCCAAAGGCCAAACACACACACACATATATATAACGGCTTTGAAAGGATAGGGTGGGTTTAAAGTGTTTGTTTGAAAAGGACTTTCTTACTCTTCTGATACACTGTAGAAATTTCCTGGTTTTTAGAGCCTAGGCCCCCTGCATGCACGTTGGTCTACAACGACCTTCCTCAGGCACCTATATCTGCTGTTCACGTTGACAAGGAGGAAGGGCTGTGCAGGACTGTTTTTGGTCCTACATAGGAAGAAGAGCGGGAAGAAGAGGCAGTCACCCCTTCTCATCACATTAAATGTGAACAGAACTCATGGCCAAAACTAATGGAAAACCTCTATCTCACTGATAAAGCGAGCCCATAGACAAAAGCTATTATAAAAATCCTCTTATCATGCACTCTACAAAATAAGGGAAGAAAATCTGGCTCTAGCTATGAAAGAAAACTGCCCCAGACTGAATGAATAAGGAACAAGGGCTTTATCATCTACTGCATGATTAAGTCTCATTTTGGCTCCCAATATTTTTACCCAAAGAGACCTTACTAAAAATAAAACAAAGGAAAGTTGCTCTCTGATGGCTATTCCAGCCTCTGTCAGTGATGCACATTGGGAAACGGGGCAAGGACCTGTGTCCTCTGTATATAAGTAATAATAATGGTCTATTTTGAAAGGCACTTGAAGAACCATGGCTAAAAAGCACTATGTGCCCTGGTTATCTATTATCAAACCTTCATAAGGAAAAACAGATTACTCTCAAACCATCTTAGATTATAAGAGTAAAGTGAATGAAGAGAATGGCACTTGCCTGCTGACACAGAACTAATTCAGACCAATTAGTTAGCAATAAGTTGCCGTAAACTTAAAAATGACTTAAAATTTGACTGTAAACCCTTCCATTTAAAAAAAAAAAAAGAAAAAGGCGATAAAAAGCACTGTGGGCAGGGCAAGACTATGCAACAGCATACAGTGCAAGAAGCATCTTGCTTCATCAAGTTTTACCTGTTTTTCTGTTTATTTGGTTGCTTTTTTTTGGCTTGTTTCTAATGGTTAAGGCACCATACTTAACTGTTTTGCTGGGTTACCCTGGGTGCAGCCTCTTACTCTTGAGAATTTTCAGCTTGTTTTTTGACAACCTCTTTCACCCACTTTTCAACTACCATGCATGGGCATATGAGCACATCAGGGTAAAACAAAAGGCTCTGAAGGTAAAAGTAAGGATATAAAATAAACAAACAGATTACTTAAAATCAGTGTTGTTCTACAGGAAGGATAGTTGACTATAACTTCAGTTTTGTGTCAAACAGTCATAACGTTTGAAAGGAAACTTCAAAATAGGTCTAAGTATGTGCTTAAACTGACGGGCTGCTCCTGAGTTCTTGTGAATCTAGCAAAGCTTTCCTGTGGATGACACTCACTCTAAACTTCTTCAGGATAGTGGTGTGGTATGAAGTGAGAGCTTCTCAAGTCCTATAAACATCATGGTGAGGTTGGATGATGTGGCTGAACTTGGCTAGAGCGCTCCGCTATAGAAATGGCAGTAGCTGTTCCCTCTGCAAGCTCTCAGATGCTTTCAGAGCCTTTGCAGAGTAGACTCAGGTTGCTGAACTCTCGAAAGGTTTTAATTTCTCACCCCCACCTGCTCAGGAAGTTTTCATCTTGCAGAACCCAAAAGAGTTAGCTTAGAAAATGATCTGTCAAAGGCTACAGCCACAGCACGAGCGGACCACGGAGGAGGGAGTGGGACTGCCTACTGTCATCGCTTGGATTCTCATCAAACCATACCCCAGAAGCTGAAGTTTGTAATGAATCTGCTCGTCTATCTGGGCGTTGCAGTCTGGCATCTTTGCAATACTGAAGACCACATCAGGTAAGTGTCCTTGCATACATTTCCAATAATGGGACAAGAATGACAGAAAGAACAGAAATACAAGGGATGTGGATTAGTTTCTGTTTAGAAGGATTTATCAAGTAGACCAAAAACGCACGTAACTTTCTTTGGTGTTTACTATCCAGCCTAGAACAGTTGACTGTCCCTTAATCAGTTTTTCTTCTCCTGCAAGGTTAACATTAGTGTTCTGACTGCTCACCTTGCATCCTTCCAGAGAAGCACTAACGGAACTGCAGCATCCCTTCATGAACGAGTATTCTTGAAATTGCTAAGTGGATTTGCATTTATGTTGCAGAGTAAACTCGTCAGAAAGTGTAAAGCGCAGGCTGAACTACCACAGAACTCTAGACCATTGGTCTAAGAACTATTCCTATCATGTTAGGAACACTCTGCTCACTAGACTTGAAAGGGCAGAGAATTATGCCATACGCATCCCTAACCATGGCCATGGATTATATATCACCTTTTAAAAGTTACTTTTATCCTTTTTTAAGAACATACATGGGTTTTCAGGGAAAAGCTGCATTATTTTAGGCCAGCAAATTTTTGATGAAACTCTTCAGTTTCTTGCTTTCATTTTACACTCTGAAATTAGAAGGTCATAATTGGAGGTAAGATATTTTGTTTCCATTCCAGGGTTGTTTCTCAAATTGTTGACTCAAGTTACTCCTTCACCCTCGCAAGCTGTGGCAGGGGTTAACTCAAGGGCTGAAGAACTCAGTGCTCACCGAAGTCGATGTGAGAGGCTTAAGTGCAACATGTTCATCCCATTAAAAGAAAAATAATCCATTCGGTCCTCATGTACAAGTAGTAACTGTATCAAATTGGGGTTGTTGTTTAACTACGACTCCACTTCAGTTAGTGTTCTGTCTTTAATCAAGTGTCCTTTTCATTTACAGCAACTGCCCTCGTCTCTATTTCAAAATGAACACTTAGGATACATTGCTAAGCTTCTACAAGGAGGCTTCTTATGGACCTATAGCGTACAGGTGCTAACAGTCTGGAAGCTCATTTCATTTTATCTGCTGCTTTGCAGCAGTACTTATTCTGTCAATAAAAGCCAAACAATTTAGCATAGCAGCAGATGAACAGTACAGGAAAGGTCGCTACTCAGGCAGCTGGGTGGGAGCATTAATACAAAATAGAATCAATTCGTTGTCAATTTTTTCAAAAAAGAAGTATCATAAGTTCAAAGTAAAGGCCTGATCATGAATATTGCCCTTTCACAAGCTTGATGTTGCAAAAACCTTTCTGATCCACACAAGGACAGCTGTGTTTTCTTCACTGCTTTCCATCATTTTGCAGTTCCAGCTTTGCTAGATGGTTCTCAAACTTTTTAATGTCTACTCGATGCTTCATCAAGAACTTCCCGTTTAAATGAAAAACAGGTATGTCATATTTGTATTTTTCATACCATGAAGAGTTCTCTGGAAGGGTAATATCCACTTCCTGCAAAATAAACTGTGACAAATAATAAAAGTATGTTAGGACATAGTGAATACTGAGGAGAAAAAAAAATGCTTGTTTTTTGAATAAGCTTCTCTTTAGATGTGCAATATCACTTTCTCTGGGTTTTTTTTCTTTTGCTACATTCTTCCATATTTTAGACAATTTCCCATTTTGTCAGCACAAAATACATATTGCCACAAACGTTTTCTTTGCAGACGACCTATCTAGTCTGGCAAGATACACTTGATCCCCTGCACGGACTTGACCAAAATACAGCTGGCAACACAGCAGTTTCTTGTTAGGCAACGGAGAGCACCACCTTTTCAACCCTAATGTTGACTACCTTTTCCTTCAAGAAAAGTATCAAAACCAAATGAGCACCAAAAACTGTGCCATGAATTATAATACTTGTAGTTTCTTGTCCCTCAGAAATTTCTTCACAATATCCTTTCCAAACAGCACTGTTATCTGCCTCATAAAAGTTGCAAACGCTCATATAGGCCTGTATTTACAGGGCATAGGTTTTAAAAACATTTACAGGGAAGTGTATGTTGGTTTGGTTTGCTAAGACTTATTTGAGTTACAGTGTTGGAGAATGCCTTTGGATAATGAGTTTTATGGAAATTGGTGCTGAAATTGTCTTGAAGAGGTCACTCCTGAAAAAATAATGGATGGAAATAAATCCAAGCAATCTTCTTTTATAAAGAAAGAATCCTGATTAACTATTCTTTCTATACATGACATGTACATGGTAGTATAATACATTACCCTTTTCTTATATGGCTCAAGCACTTCTTTGGCTTCATCACATAGAGGGCACGGTTTCTAAAGGAAAACACAGCAAAATAGGCACATCATTTATCCTGCAAAGTAAAATACACAGGCAGCAGTGATTGTTACAATAAATGTGTTTTCCCTCCCCGTTTCGACCCCACTTCTGTCTTCGTGTTTTGTAAATCTCCACTTTATCAGCACAGCATGGACTAACATCAAAAAAGCCTCTTGCATCAGCCACAAAACTTAGGCAATTCCCATTTGCTGTTTTTTTTCCCCTCATGGTACAAATTAATAGTTTTCAATTGATTTTTTTAATAAGCTGATTCATGCATGTGGCTTGGAAGACTGCACACAGATCCTTTCGTGTAGGTAACAGCAGTCCTTATTGAAGATGTTGCCATCAGCAGCTGGAAACAACAGCCAGTACCACTCTTGTTGGAAGCAGAATGCAGGAATTGTAATTTCTGATCTGTTTCAGACCAAGTTCCTTGGGTAAGTTCAAATAGCAAAAGAATGTGCTTGAAATAACCTGGCTGATTTTGCCTAAGAGGGATTAAGCACAATATCTTGCATGGACAGCAACTTCCAGCAGAGGGAAGTGATAAATAGCTGTAGTGTTTTGACTTGTTATGTGGTCAGTTTTCAGAAAAACAACAAAAAAATCCCTCCTCCTCTCTGAAAACTCCCTTGTCTTTTCTCACAGCTGACTTCTGCTATCATGCATTGTGGCTGTCAGATCAAGTGCCTGTCTGAAAATGTGATCCATGTGGAGGCACATGCTTCCATATTCCACCTATCTTTGGTCATAATTTGGCCTGTAATTTATGTAACAAAATATATGGTGATAAACACAATTCATCCACCATGAAATCCCTACCCCACTTAAAGACTTTTTTGGGGCTTGTTTAAACAGGGAGTTAATATAAAGTGTGTGTGTGTGAATCAACTGGGGTTAAATATTCTCTTTTAACTCACTCTCTAAATTGTCTTTCGTTATGGACAAGACATCGTTAAGTGAAAACCCATGCAAGATGCTGAAGTTCTGTATTTTTCTTGCTAGTGTTTGTCACTTTTGGAGGGACTGAAATGCCAAGGAATAAATATTGTTGACTAAGAGGAATAACCCAGAGTCCTGCACATCAGTTTTGGAACAAGCCTTACAGTGGTAGCAGGACACATTCACTCCTCCTACAACAGCAGAAAGCTTTCTGACTCTTTGTGCACAATGCTTTCTAACACACAGAAGCATTTGAAAGAATTATTTGACTCTTCAGAGAAAAAGAAAAAAAAATCCTGCTCTGATGCCAAGCCTAAGCATGGATTAATGTATTCATAAAACTCAGACCTGTGTAAAATCGGTGTATATTTTAAAGTAGAGCAGTGTAGCAGTTTTAAAGCAGAGCAAGGGAACAGTAGGCAGCTACCATGTTTTATGCTATTCTGGTAATAGTGTTGCCTGGATAGAGCCGTCTCAGACAACCTCCTACCTGAGATGTGTGCTACAACAGCAAAAGCGAAACCTGCTGAGATGGTGAAAAATCCTTGCCAAAGTGACATATGCCGTGCTGATGGCTAAATCTGTTAGATAACACACAAGCTGAAAAGGACCTTTTTATGTGCCACGTGCTCTGGGTGTCCCTGCTGGAGCAGGGGGGGTTGGACTAGATGATCTCTAGAGGTCCCTTCCGACCTCAACCCTTCCGTGACTCTGGGATTCTGTCTATGATTTCTACAGATAATGCCCATTTATCCTGCAGGCTGAGATTGCAGTTTTATGGTCATTTTATTAAGCTGGCACTGACAGGGAAGGAAGCAGACCCATCTTCCTGTTACCAACCCTTTTTTGCTGGCATAAGCACTCATACAGGGGCACTGTACACATAGACAGGAAAACTGATCTGAGTTAACAGTAACCTTGGGAAGGAGAAAAAAATAACCTGGATCAATGCCTGCATGAATGCTCATATTGCATAAAGGGAGTCTGTGAAGGGAAAACCATTTAAAGGCTGCAGAACCCTTCCTTTTTCTCCTCTCCATATTTTTAAAAATAGTAAGGAGGGGAAAAATGAGTTAATTAGCAAAAAGCAGGCCTGCAGATTAGATTATAGCATAATTTTGCTCTGCAGTTTCCAGTGATATCAGATATAATAAAGCATTTTAAGTCAAGAGTACATTCAACAAAAGAGGGCAGTTTAGAGAATCACTTGAAACTCACTCATGGAAATTTGATTGCATACAGGGTTTTACTAGTTTAAAATCTTTATAACACAGAGAAAAAAAAAGCTCTTTTATATGATTTTTAATTATTAACTCTAAAGTTAAGTTTATTATTCCTATCATATCACCTTTGGATTGGGAATGAGCTGATGCTGAAGCAGCCAGCAGAATTCTTTATACAGCATTGATTAAGAAACAGTTGTTCACCTTTTTTAAACCTAATCCTATGTAACACAGAATGAACAAACATTGTGCAGGATGAGGAAAATGCTTTAATCACATCTGTTTCCAACAAATTCACGTTTCTGAAATCTGATTTCAAAATTAACAATAGTCTGCATTTGTAGTTATCCTCTCCCCAAACATTATGTAACTGAAGGCAGCACAGCCAACATGCTAGGAAGCAGGAGGAGGGCAGTTTAGGTTTTAAAGTGTGCGATTTCATCCAAAAAGGCAAAAGAGCTTTGAAGAGAACACTGACCCTTGAAGATGATTCCATCGTGGAAATAAATGACTGTTTCTATTCATCATAGACACGTTTTCCACATATGCTTAGTGATCTCCATTCATACTATAATCTTTTGCCTGCATTTCGTTTCCATTTGCTTTTACGCAACTAGTAAAGCAAAAAGAGAGAACCAACGAACCAGAACCTGTTTTTTTCTGCTGCACTACTAATACCACTTCGATACATTTTCAGTCTCATAGGTTGAGCTGAAATTGAACAGGAATGCTTTGAAGAGTCTAGCTTGGCCGCTCACACTTGTCCCAGGCAGATTAGATGTGACAAGGAAGGAGCTCATCTTTGTTCTCCAGCCTCAGGATGAAACACTGATAGCTGGAGAACTATTTTCCACTGGCAAATGGAGACTTCAGTGTCACTGAGATGCAGCAAACTTGAAATCTCCATTTGCTGCTTGTAACTAATTGCTGGCTATGGCCACAGAGACTGGTGAGGCCTGGGGCAAAAGGCACCCTCAAGGTAAAATCCATAATACTGAGCTTCACAAATCTGGAGGGGAAAAAGGAAAGGCTGAACCATTTCATGTGGGATTCATGCACATCTAAGGTGATATATAAGCATTCTTGCTTGGCTTTACTCTGTAGGCTAGCTTTTACCTTGGTGAACAAAGTCAACAGTGGTTTATTTGTGCCGGCTGAAGAGAGTTGTCTCCACAGTCCACGAGAAGAATGTCTTGCCAGCTGCACTGTTCTGCTCAGGAAACAAAGCACCATTGTCCTGTTAAGGCAAAAATTAAATGTATAGATTGTGTTAAGTTATAGCTAATGAAATTCAATTTTAAGGTAAATGTGGTGCCTCAGTGGTAGTTCTAAAATACACACAGTCAAACCATTTTCCCAGCATTTTTATGTTCACGGTTTCAGCACATTAATAAGAAAAACAGTTTACTATGCAGCAGGCCAGAAACAATTTCAGGTAGCTGAAGAAAAGAACCTCCATTTAAAAAGAATATTATATTTCCTTGCTGAAATGCCTCTCTTAAATTCTTTGACATAAACGCTGACATAAATACATTGTGCTGTGTCAAGCAGACATGTGCCAGTTAGAATTAAATGATATTAACAAAATGCAAAGTGCTGTGCTTTGAACCTCAGTAATCTTACTGCAGTGGTTGGCATACATGTTCTACTTTCTCTAAATTATTCCATCAAACAACTAATCTGCACCTAATCAGAACGTTAAAATAATGTTTCCTGCAGTGAATAAAAAGCTGTGGCCAAGATCATTTAACTTGGTAATATTAAAAGCGTGCACATTACCCTGAGTTCTTCCTGTGACAGCAAAATTATGAAAGACTGTGGTGGGTTTGTGGCTTCTTTGGGGAGGTTTAGCCCATTTAGTGTTCTTGAAGGGTGCATATTGGAGACGTGCAGTTGTGTATTCATAATAACACCAGTAACAGCAGTGCTGCTTTCACTCATGCATCCTAATGGGATCTTTACAAAACAGTCTAGAACTGAAAGGCAAGAAACAGAAGCACTGGGACTGCTGGCAAAGATTACCATTTTCATATGGTGTAATTCAAAGGTTTTCACCAGGAGACAAGCAATTCCCTTAGCTTAAAGGCAAATTTCAAAGCTTTTGCTCAGAAATGGCTTTTCTATGTTTTCACTTACTACAGCTGACCATAAGCACACATTGTTATTTGCCCAAGTTTAAACTCTGTAAGTGTGCTATACAATATAGAACAGGGGCAGGACTAAGTTGCAATTGCTAAACACGTTATGGATTTTCTGTAACAAAATAGCCAAAAGCCTCCATTGAATTTCTCAGCATTAATACTGTATAACTGTTTTTACAGGAACAGTTTTGCCAGTCTAACCTCTGAGCTTGAACATTGCAGAGGAATCTGAAGTCTACTTAACTGAAATGTTTCTATCTATCGAAAAGAAAATCAAGGGTAAAAGGTACTGCCCTTTGAAAATAACTGGTCGAACTTCAGATGCTAGGAAAGAACTGGATTTTTTCCTTTGACCACCTACAACACGTGGCCTAAAACATGCTCTGCTGCACTGGGCAGGGTGCTGGCAGACGCCAGCCAGAATCCTTGGCAGCCTCTCAGCTTCTTTCACTAGGGCAGGTGGAAATCTCGTTGTCCAGGGTTTTACCTAACAAATACAAACATAAGCTTGAAACTTTCTGCAAAAAAATGCAAATCTGGATGACACTAGCTAGCTTTAGTCGTATTTAGAAATGTTTATGTCCACAATAAATAGCTGCTCAGAATGGTGGCTAGGGTAGCTAAGCACAGCATGTGGACTTGTTCACAGGCAAGATAGAAAACGTCAAAATAAACAGTTCACATTTTGGCAAGTTTTTAAATGAGTATTTCTGTTGCCAGTCTAGCAGGCCAAGTTTTCTCCTTCAGAACAAGGTAGAAGAAAAAAAAAAAAAAGAAACGGCTGCACACAATGAATGTGCAGAATGAGAAAAGCTTGATTTCCATGGATCTTATCCCTGCTATCCACACACACGTGCAGGAAAGGGCCTGGTTTCCATTCTTTGCGCCCCACGGTCGGTCCTGCCTGGGCCTCCCTCCTCCATCCCGGGATTCCCGCAGTAGCTGTGAGCTGCAGCAGGATCTCTGCCCGCCGAGGCCAGCGGTCACGTCCAGCCAGAGGAGCAACCCAGGGGAACGGATAAAGCCCAAGAACCTCACTAGGAGGAACAGACTGGGCAGCATCTCATACCCTCATGAATTTTAAATAATCACAAGCAACTTTGGAATTCACGAGCAACCCTCCACCAAACTGCAGCTCCCACAGCATTCACAGCATCCCACAGCATCCCGTCCCTGTGGACGGGACATCTCATCTCACACATGCGAACAGGGTGAGAGTCTAAGCACTGTTAGTTGTTAATAGATGCCTGTTGATGGCAGCCAGAAGGGCTAAGGAAACTTTGCCTTCCCACTGCAAATTCACATTTGCATTCGATAATGGTTGCATGCAGTTTGCTCTGAAAACAGAGTCCTGGAAATCCAGTTTATTTACAGATGTAAAATGAAGCTAAAGCCCTCCTGTTTTACCAGTTACAAACAAATTCAGAGGACAAAACCGTGTTTTTTTTTAAATTTAATGACACCAGCCTCTATCCATGCAGCAGCCAGTTGAGAAGGAGGGTGGGCGCAGAGCTGCATTTAACCTGTGCTAAAAGCTTGCTCCTAGCATTAAGCGACCTCAGCTTCACAGGAACACAGCTGATGTTCTGCCCTGCTTTTAAATTAGCAGCATTTGCTAATCCCATTTATTGGGTTAGCTGAAAAGGTTTGGGCTAAACCAAAAGAGCTGTAGCTCTGCATGAACACGAGAGGGTTCTGATTATACTGCGAGGGGTTAAATACAGTTATTACCGATTAGAAGCTGACCCAGGGGATGTCTCGTCGGTGCCAGCGGCCCCCGGAGCCTCATGGGCTCCAACACGGCCCCGACCCGACCCGCACAGCGCTCAGCGCAACGCGGCAGCACCGGGCCCCGCGCGGCACGGCGCAGCATCGCCGGGCTCGCTCCATCGCAGCACGAAAAGAGGGGCAGTTCTGCACAGATGCCCCATGGCCTTCGCAAGCCGTGCAAGAAAGATTGAGAGGGCTGAAGACTGAGAGAAGATCGGTGCACATTATCAACGTGTACAAATACCTGAGGATATAGTGGGGATGGGGCCAAACTCTTCTCAGTGACCAGTGATAGGACAAGGTGGCCAGTGATAAGACGGGTGCAAGTTGAAACACAGGCAGCTCCACCACCACATGAGGAAGAACTTCTTTCCTGTGAGGGTGACAGAGCCCTGGAACAGGCTGCCCAGAGAGGCTGTGGAGTCTCCTTCTCTGGAGATCTTCAAACCTGCCTGGACACCACCCTGTGACATGTGCTCTGGGTGTCCCTGCTGGAGCAGGGGGGTTGGACTGGATGGTCTCTAGAGGTGCCTTCCAACCTCAACCACTCTGTGATATTTGTGTCCTATTATGAAGGAACTAAACTGCTAACAACACACAAAACCTTCCAGCATGACCAGTCTGGGGTTCTCCTTCGGCTACCTCCAGGTGATTAAAGATTTATTTGAGAGGCACTGTAAATTTATATACAGAAAAACAGGAAGCTTGGAACATCCAAAGCCCACCCTCCCTCATACAATAATGGTAAACAACAATCTAGCAAGAGATGCTTGGAAGCCAAAACTTGGCCAGTGCAGTTTTTTGTGAAGCCAAATTGGACTAACTTCATGTAAACAGAATTTCCACTGGCTAATAGATTCTGGTCTGCTGCAAAAATAAGACGCAACTAGGAAAATTAGCCATTATTTAGGCTAGATAATTAGCTGTATAAAAACTGTATCTTAGCAGCAGTCATGCAAAGATATGCACGACTGATTTCTTTTTCCAACTACCTTTTAATGATGCAATATACTCTTAAATAATCTCAACTTAAAGTCATCAGCATACTACAGGTCTTTGGTTTTGGATACTTTATATGCATAATTACCAACACATTTAGACATGATTATGTCCTGATTTCCATAGTTCTGTACCCATAAATAAGAGAATGAAATTATTACAAATTCAGAGGCCTTTTTCCTTACACACTGTACATTTCTGCAATAAATATTTGGTTTTGGAGCCCTAAGGTGGGTTTGACAGCAGGTGAAATGCTTGGACAAATCACACCTCCTTCTGCTAGGTAACAGCAACACATCAGAAACACAAAAACACAGCGAAAATTCAATAAAATGGAATACAGGGATGCCCTAAATCTTTTCTAGCTCTTTGTTTTTAAATAAACTTTGCAAGTGTCCTTTAAACTGATTCCTGCTCTCTATTTATTCCTTTTTCTAGTATGACAAACTGAAACAGAAACAGGCCATGGAACAGCTGCAGACAGAACACACCGAGGGCCCACAGCGGCGGCGCATTTAAACACGTTTCCTTCCACAGGCCCTCATTCAAAACCAGCTGTGGTCACCCTGGAAAGCGCGCGGGCAGGCGGTCTGATCTTGTTAATGCCGTGTTTATCGGGTAGGTAACGCACAATAACACAGGTGCTGCCAGGAGGGGCTATGGGGCACCGGGGACAAGCACTGTGGGCTGTCTGCATGCCCAAAGGGTTTCTATTCCAGCAGCTTTTCAAATGAGTTCTTTCCATTCAAAATACTCAAAATCTTTTCAGAGGAAAGCAGAAATCAAAATTAACT